GGAGAAAAAAAAAAAAAAAAAAAGAAAGAAAAATACGAATCGCATGCGACCAATTGGAATGGGTATTTATCAAATTCTAATCTTTTTATTCTATCTTATTATTCTATATACGCAACGTTATCTTTCGAGCACGCTTTTCAATCATTTGTTTTATCATTTTTCAGAGTTTTAATTTTACGTGTTTAACGGATACCCTGTTTTTGAGAACAATATTTATACTTCTTACTTTCGACACAACAATATTTTTATTTGTTGAAAAATACAACGATGACCAGACGTTTGAATGATGCAGATGTGTTTATATGGATAATCGAAGAGTGTAATTATTTTTAGTGCTTTTTCTTCGTGTGTCTTCGAACAGTTTTTTTCGTCAAGTTAGGTTAAGCAGGTTCATGATCTGTCGTTTGCAAGGAAGGAAAAATAAGAGAGCGTAACAAAGCCTCTTTTCCGACTCTCCCGTTCAACGGCCGTTGAATAAGGCAATATCCCCAGGCTTGATGCCCGTTTTGCACCAACAAGGGCCTGTTATTGCATAGGAAAATTGCTGGACCCGCGTTTTCTCTTCTCCCATCCCCCCTTTTTATTTTTATTTTTTTCAGTGTTTAGAAAAGCTCATTTTATCCCTCTGAAACTTCATATGTGTTTTCTATAAAGAATTTCTTTATAGAATATCACAAGGATTTTTCGATCTCTCCATATAATATTCATTCTTCTATATAATATGTTTTCTGTTTTTAATTACACTGCGTGTTTATCTTCAAACGTGTTTAATCTCAGCGACCTAATTGTTTTCTTTTTAATCATGTTATCTGATAATGTTATATAAAGTAATTTAGCTATTAGAACAAGTAGACAAATGAACGAGTAAAATCACTGAGAAAAAGCACAAGATACAGAAGATATTAGATATAAACAGGAAGCATATAAAGAGTTGTTATTAATACGGTAATAATACGATCTCTTAGAAGAATAATATTTCCATTAATGCATGGCCAATTTAATTTGTTTTTCTCTTTTTAATTTGTTTTTATAGCGTTTTATTGGGAACAACA